GATTAAAAAAACAAAACCCGAATCAGCCGCTATGTCCACTCAGCTACTGGAACAAGTACTTTTCTGGCTTACCCAACCATCACTAGTACAACGAGGTAATCACTTGAAAGAAGTCCTCGAAGTTTTTTCTACCCTGTTTGCCGATGCCAACTGAAATCTCATGTTATTGTGAGAAGACCCTAGACGACTGCCTCAGCACCATCCTCAGTCACGCCAAGATTTCCAGCAGAACCACCAATTTCAGCTCTTCCAAACTCCACCGCGTTGCTCACCGAAAAACCATAACCAATACAGTTTACAAGGAATCGATCCAAGTACTTAAGTACAGCCTTCAAAACCATTTTAGGCAAACAACTGCGACTCCAAACGACCTATACAAATTTCTGCATTAAGACAATGCCTGCAAATTAACTAGAAACTTCATCGGGCTAATGAGAGCACACACACCCCATGCAGTTCCTTGAAACAGTTCGGAGCACACATACCCCAAGAGGTTCCTTAAACAATTCACTCGGGATCTGGACCCTTAAACCTCACGTTCATCCTGTTTTTGAGTAGTAATCAAGCCTGTGCCTTGATCATACACCTATACGGAATTTGACCTTATTAGCCTTGAGTAGAAGTACCCCCTCATCGGTAAAGAAGAGCCATGTTGGTTTGAGGGTTCATTTTGTTCGTAGCAATGCAACAGCAACACCTGAATTACACAGTCATAGTCATGTGTGTAGGTTTCTGCATCGCCCCTTCCATGGACGGAAATATCTTGTCACATGTGGGGATCGTTTTTGAAAATTCAGCAAAGCCTCTATCCGAGGTGAAATCGTGACGCTGGCAAGTAATGTGGTGCAGGCTAGGGGTGTGCATAGTCAGTGACTTGAAATGGTGGTGGGGGTGATTATAGTGGTAATCCTCCCAAGTAAAAACGNCTGGGGGATGCATTCCCCATCCCCGGAATCTCCGCCCATGGGTCCCTTTAAGGAGCGATGAGTGGGACCCAACAGTCATAAAGTACATCAACAGAGAAAGAGTGAAACAGAAAGGGTTTGTTTTGATCCAATGTTACATTTCAGTTATTCCATTAATAACTCTTTGATGTCATATGTTGTTATTTACAAGCCATTGGTATTTGTTTCATGATTCAAGGGTATATCAGTTAAGTAAGCGCACTGGGTGGGGTATTTTTGCCTAGATTCCTAACACTTGGGAGTATTTAGATCACCTAAGGAATATTTAGATATATATATGGAATATTAATTATCTGAAGTATATATATATTAAAGAAAGTTTACAAATTCTAGTCAAGGTTGTATTTATATAACGTGATATAAATATATACTTTTTGAGCAGGGAAAGTTGACAATTATATAGGCACTGAAATAATTATATAGATTTCTCTGTTGTCACTTGAAACAGATGATAAACTGTAATCCATTTTCAAAAGCATATGAAGAGTTAATCATTTGGTTTTGGTTCTCTGTGATCAGGTTTCCAAATGATTGAATAGCCTGTTGTCTGAGGATTGTTATCGGCTAGCGTTCAGGGATAAAGCAATATGAGCAGAGTACACTTTGCAAGTCCCCCGTCCAGTTTCTTACCCTTTTTATTTTCTCGTCTCTCCTCACGTACGTGTTAATATTTGTGCATCGCCCGTTTTCAAACCTATGTGGTGTAGTTACCGTTGTCTTGCATTTACTTATTAATTTTTTTTACAGCCTTTTATTGTTTTTTTTTTCACATCTGAATTGCAACGCTTAAATGGTTAGTCTTCAGGCAGTATCTGGGTACCCAAACGTTTCTGTGCAGATTTCGCAATGTAATGGATACACTAGCATATAAAAACGGATCTGTTTCGATTACGTTGAATGTAAAGTTTGGTAATTCACCTCGTACAAATCTAAGGGATGTCACATCTCATGCTTTTGTGTAAAAATGCATAAAGTATTGAGGTTTCCTTGCAATAAAGAATTTGTGTTTTCACTAAAATATTTGCAAGAAAGCAAAGGGAATACCATCCAATTACAACTGTTTCCATTTATGATAAAAATATTAATAGAGCTGCCAAATCTTAATGGCAAATTTGCGTTTTAGTATATCACCTTTATTTGACCCCTAAGCCCCAAAGATTTACAATTCGTGGTCGTCATTCTTGTCTCCAATCTTATGCAATGTGGACTTGGAGGCTGGGGTGACCTTTTAAAATATATTTTCTAATTTGTTTATTTTTTTGAAACATTCTGCTCCTTAAATTATGGAATGAGGTACAGTTCTGTCTTCAACACTAAGATCATACAATACTTTAAACCAGTAGCTTCAATTGCATCTTAGGTAATACATGTTGTGCGTCTTATCCGCTCAGATTTTGATCCTACTGTTTATAAAAAGGGTCCAGCTTAACCCCGTGCAGTACAAAGCAAGTCCGGTATTCTGCCTGTCTTGGTCTAGTCTATAGGCCTTTCTGATCTGTGGCCGAAAAACAATCGGCCTCGGGCACATAAATTCTCTACCCGTTGGAGAAAAGCAAGTGCCGTACAAAAGACGAATTAATTACCGGTTTAAAGACTCCGGCAAGAGATTACCCACTTCTTTTAAACTGTCATTGGTTTGATAAAATGCAGATTTGATTCTTTCTGAATTGTTTTCATCAAAATAGAGGGGCAATTTTAAATTTAAGACGATTTTAAACTAGATGTTCTTCAAGAAGTGGGTGGGGAAGAGGAAAGTGAGGATCGTCTGATCGATCCAGTGTGCAATCATTTTCAAATACTGCAGTGCGAGTACGCCCCAATGTTTTTTAATTCGGGTACGGACGCAGTTTCGGACATTTTTAGCTTGACATCGAAAGACAAGTCACAAATAACAGGGTGAGCAGTTGAAAAAGAATGTTTTTGTTGCAGTTTATTTTAAGAGCTCGTGACTGGAATTCAGACTGGAGGTCCTGTGTTGGTCTTGTCTCGAGTACAACACTGATGTATGCTCTAGCTGCCTAGTGGACTTTACTAAATCTGACCTGTAAAAAATAACTTTATAGAATCTTATGGCAAGAATTCATTCTTTTAAGGTAGGGTCAGACTTTTATAATTCCCCCAGAAAAAAAAAATTGTTGGATTTTTATTCGAAAGCATAACTGCTATTACGATGGTAATAGTAGTAACCATCCTGTGAAAATATTCCGTTTGAAATGTCCCCGTACGGCCGTTGATTAAAAATCATTAAAAGTATGTCGAAAAATTTGAATTACCAAAAGTCGACTTTTGGAGATTTTTGGCCGTTGGAATGCTGCCCTCATGCTGGGAAAATCTGCCAGCCGACATAGCCGATTTGCAATCGGGGCATCCGTGAACGGGCGCGCTGCATTCCCACTGACCTGACATTATGCAGACACGCTACGTTGTTTCGATGCAACACTGCATGTACCGCACAAGGTGGCGACTTGCCGTGATATAGACAGCACACCATACCGGAGGCGCGCAGTTGGACGAACCGCTGCACATGCGAGAACCGCACTGAGTCGGATCTCCAGAAAAACTTTTGGCAGACTCATATTAAAGTGAAAACCGGCTGCAAGTGTGATTTGTCGCGACTTTTGTATTCAAGAACTATTACGTTGCAATAGCACTGCCACAGTGCCAGTGAACTGAAGTACTTGATGAGGAATACGATTGCTATCTCTCTCACTCGGACTTAGTGTCTGCTCGTCTTCATAATAAATTCTAACGAACCATTTATGAGCCACGGTTTACATGCAGAAACAGGTTTAGCGTGCAAACCGTGATATTTTGTTTCATTTTCAAGAGTAATGACAATAATGAACTGTAACTTCTGTGATGCATGTATCTTAAAATTCAAAACAAGTTTTTATTTACATAACACTTGAGTATATGTATAAGGAGCTCTGCAGAAGTCTGCGAGCGCCACTTTTTCCGAATTTCCAGATTTAAGTTTATAGTTTACTTTCCATTATGACCGAGATGGTGCTATTACGATTACAGCCACAGTTCCTTTTCGTCTCGCTAATCGTGAATGGACTCAATGTTTTTGTGGAAAATACCGCGACAATGTTTTGTTACAGTTTTCTCAAGTAGGGACTTTATGGAGCTGAAACTGTCGCAGGTGACCTTAATTGTATCTTTGACAATTTTGCCTACCAATCAGCATTCCCTTGACAAAAACCAATCTATGACCCTACATGTACCTTTAACTGTGTGAAAATTCCCTGTACCGAGGAGTGAATTTCTACATTTTTGATTTTAGTCGGGTGCTGGGCACATCATAAAATGTGCATGTAGTTTGTCTGGTGGTCTGTGCGTTTATGTGCCCGTGACCATCCCATCATGCAAGCTTGCGAAATCGACAGTTTTCGGACACGCCTTCCATTATGCGTAAGTCGAACAGAAATAAGCATCAAATCAAAATTCGTTTTGTATAGCCAATTGCGGAAGTTCAAGTCTAATACGGCGGAATGTAAGGGCGTAGCTACCCAATGATTGATATAAAGCCATGATTGATATAAACATAACGTAAACGGAATATGTGTAAGAAAACTAATAGTGGTGAGAATTGGGTGCATTCTGCATCACTATATTCTGAATATGCATATGCCATTTGCATGGTACATTACATTCGCACGCGCACGTCCTGTACTCTCAGTGGACGGTCTCCGACTGGCTTGTTTTGTAATTAAAATAGAATGAAAGGAATAAACACCCACACTTCCGAAAGAAATATCTATTTCATGGCAACTACAAAAAGGCATAACACTGATGATTCTCACGCCGTACTTTTGGGTTACTTCAAACGCACTGCATTATTATGCATGGACCACGACAGAACAAAAACTCTATATAAAGTAAGAAGCTTGCAACATTTCAGACAGTAGATTTGGGTCTGGTCAGGAGAAGCGAATAGGCTCAGTGCTGGAATAGCATATCGCTACCTCACCCGTCATAATGTTTGCATTCGGGTTTGAAAAAAACACCAAAGATCGTATCTTCCGCGTAGCTATGATTTCAGTCCACGGGAATCCCCTTGTCTCTGACGAAGAACTGGGTTCAGATGGAAAAGGTGGGCAAAACATCTACGTCCGGGAAGTCGGTAAAAAGCTCACCTCCCTGAATTGTGATGTGACCTGGCTGACTCGAAGCGAATCAAAAGCCGAGTCCGGGGTGGTCGGTCTCTCCGAGAGACTGCGTTGCCGTTTCATCGTCGCTGGGCCCCAGACGCACATCCACCGCGACCACCTCTACCAGTACCTGGACGAGTTCGTCGCTCAGATTCACCCCGCCGCTTTTGACGTGGTCTTCACCTGTTACTGGCTAAGCGCCTACGTTGGAATGGCACTAGGCTTGCCTCACATCCATGCATCCATGTCCTTAGGATATATGAAATACCGACAAGAGTCCATGTCTTCCATCGGTCCCACTCGGCTGAGAATCGAGAAACTTGTCGGTGAGCTAGCTGATGTTTATGTTTGTCAAACGCATGAGGAAATGGAGCTCATGCAACCTCGTAATCCGGTTTACATTCCGTGTGGCATTAATGAAGAAACATTTCAGAAACTTGATAAAGCCGAAGCTCAAGAGAAAATGGGCTTCGACAGCGACCGTCTGAATGTTTTGTACGTGGGTCGATTTGCCAAGCAGAAAGGGTACAACTACGCTCTTGAAGCCCTGAGCTGCACCACGATACCCCACACATTCCGTTTGATTGGAGACTGTAAAAGTGTTTCATCCCTTAAAAGACACCCGTCTGTCCAGTTGCTAGGATCAAAGAAACCTGAGGAGGTAGCCCTCTTCATGGCAGCGTCAGATGTCTTGATTATGCCCAGTCTGTACGAGCCTTTTGGGCTGGTGGCCATCGAGGCCATGGCGGCCGGATGCTGTCTCATCGTGTCGGCGGTGGGAGGTCTTGATGAGAATGTTCAAGACGGCGTCAACGGCTTGAAGGTGCCTCCTGGAAACTCAGCTGCCATCTTGGCAGCCTTCGAGAAATTATGGGGTGATAAAGAGCTCCGAGAACGGATCAGCAAGACGAACAGACAGCACGCTTTAAAAACCTACAGTTGGAAGTCGGTTGCTGCCGAAATAAAGCAGAACTTGGAGAAGATTCTTGACTGATTGAAGTATGTAGTAGAGAAAAGGGGCCACGAGGCATTTTCTTCAACAATTGCAGAAGTCTTTACCTCAATCCGTGGAACTGCACCCGTTTGTTTCAATTAACATTAATTCAAATTTTGGTTGGGTATTTATCACATGAAGTATTTATGGGGCCTTTTTGGTTTTTTGTGCTTTTATGTATTTGCGTATTCATGAGTAAACTGCCATGTATTCCGAGCCACTGATCGTCATTATTTCAAGGATTTGTGCAAAATGAATAAAATATTGTTGGACCTTTTTACTTCCTCAGGTAATTTATTGTTATATAACAATAAGCAAGCAAACAACCATTCAGAAATGTCCTCAAAATTCAAATCTGGGGCTGAAAATGTGAATATCAAAACATGTTAATCAAGCCGTGTCTTCCTGGATTTATTTCAAACCAGAGGTACCCTCTCTTATCCGCAAAAGTTTATTAATATTGAACGTTTTAAATAAGTTCAGTTTTCATACACTTGAAAAAGTGATTCTAAGAAAATTCGTTGCATTGTTCCTTAAAATGAAAAACTACATAGGCCTACGAATTACACGTATTTTAAAGTTATTTGGGTCCACGCATTTATCAGAATACCTCTTTAAATTCTTGTCTAATGGGCTAATATTTCTTCTGGAGATATACAGAACGTCAGATATATGCAAACAAGTGTTTTCGACCGATTGTTTTCCGCGGAAATAAGCACCGATCAAGAAGTCTGTCAGATATTACATCCAGAAGGCCGAAACTCCATGGAAAGGAAAGGAAAAAACTTGTGGACGGTGTATGAAACAATATCAAATCTCTACAAAATTGTAATACTGAGAAAGAAATTCTATCACTAAGCTGATTTTCATTTGGTTCATTTTTTGTTCAGGTAGAATACAGTAATCAGTAATCTAACCTACAACGAATCACTGATATTCATACAATGACAGAAATGGTAAAAATGTATATTCTATATATCTATCTGTTTAACGGACTTATCAGTTGTTATGGCTAGAGTGGTATTTTCGAAAATTGAATAAAACATTGAATAAAACAGTTGTAAACAGCTGGAATACATGTTTACACATGTAATATGTAGTTCCAATATTTTGGAGTACTTAAAACTGGAGCACAGATTCTTGAAACGTACCTGGCAGGTCGCGCCTAGTTTGGACTACCAGTCATGTACGGCTGTGTCTATCAGAAACATGTGCCCAAGTAACCATTGTGATAATAAATGTACAAGGTTGTATAAACAACATGTATGGGTACAGTCCACTGATTCAAGCCCCATGCACAACAGTGTAAAACCAGCACTGTTCAGGGCCCAATAATATGCACGCCAACATTCCTGAGATTTCTGAAACAGAAATGAAATTCTTGTCTGGTCACTTATCGTTAAATTTCTTTTCAATTTTTTGTGGGTTAACCAAAACAAAA